CCTCCAAAGTTGAAATGTTTGTGTGGGAGGGGGGGGGGGGGGGGGGAGGCGCGGAAGCCCTTGAGTGTGACAGGACACAGCACAAAAAGGTTATTTGACAGCATTAGCTTATTTTAGTAGTCAGTTGGCTGTTGGGGCTGTGAGGCATGCACCTAGTCAGCATTTGTGGAGGGCTGGTGTTTTTACATTAGCCAATATTTAGGTATTTTCCAGTGAACATGCATTTGAAAGCGTTGAATGACAGTGGCTTTAAGCTTTCACCAAGTGACTGTTCAACCAGCACAAAAAGGTTATTTGACAGCATTAGCTTATTTTAGTAGTCAGTTGGCTGTTGGGGCTGTGAGGCATGCACCTAGTCAGCATTTGTGGAGGGCTGGTGTTTTTACATTAGCCAATATTTAGGTATTTTCCAGTGAACATGCATTTGAAAGCGTTGAATGACAGTGGCTTTAAGCTTTCACCAAGTGACTGTTCAACCAGGAAAGTCGACTCCAAATTTTGTGCTACTGTTCTCAGGAGTTAAGGAAAAAAGCTTAACCACTCAGAAAACGTGTGATTTCAAGGTTGAGTTTCACAAACTGCAAATTTGAACTTTACCCGACGTGAGGTCATACATGCAACCAACTACCGCAATCTAACACAGCCCAATATAGTCGATAGTGCTCAGTTCTCTTGTAGATACTGTGGGTGGCTCTGAAAAGAGCCTTTGGTTTTCGAAAACTCTTAGTCCTGACTGCTGTTAGATCATTTTCCCTTGGCCTTGTGGTGGCTCTCGGTCTTCTTGGGCAGCAGCACCGCCTGGATGTTGGGCAGGACACCTCCCTGCGCGATGGTGACGCGGCCCAGCAGCTTGTTGAGCTCCTCGTCGTTGCGGATGGCCAGCTGCAGGTGGCGCGGGATGATGCGCGTCTTCTTGTTGTCGCGGGGCGCGTTGCCCGCCAGCTCCAGGATCTCGGCCGTCAGGTACTCCAGCACGGCCGCCAGGCAGACCGGGGCGCCGGCGCCCACCAGCTCCGAGTAGTTGCCCTTGCGCAGCAGCCGGTGCACGCGGCCCACGGGGAACTGCAGGCCGGCCCGGGACGAGCGGGTCTTGGCTTTGGCGCGCGCCTTACCGCCCTGCTTGCCGCGTCCGGACATGGTAGAGACTTAGCTGCCAACGTTTGCACAGTGGGAAATGTGGTAGCCCTAGCCTGCTGTTTATAGAGAACACCCGGCGCGAAAATGAAGCGGTTTCATTGGCCACAAAATAACTGTTTCACTTAAACCAATGGCACCGCGCAGTTGGAATACTTTTGCCTTGATTGGGCCGTTAGTTAATGACGTTTCCCGATTCACCACTAATTATAGCCACCACTTTGCTTAAAAGGCAGCCAGCACAGAAGTCTTCTAGCTTGCGTTTTGGTTCTCAGGTGTGCTTTCCTTTCAAATATGCCGGATCCCGCGAAGTCAGCGCCCGCCCCGAAAAAGGGCTCCAAGAAGGCGGTGACCAAGGCGCAGAAGAAGGACGGCAAGAAGCGCAAGCGCAGCCGCAAGGAGAGCTACTCGGTGTACGTGTACAAGGTGCTGAAGCAGGTACACCCCGACACGGGCATCTCGTCCAAGGCCATGGGCATCATGAACTCGTTCGTCAACGACATCTTCGAGCGTATCGCGGGCGAGGCGTCGCGCTTGGCGCACTACAACAAGCGCTCGACCATCACGTCCCGGGAGATCCAGACGGCCGTGCGCCTGCTGCTGCCTGGGGAGCTGGCCAAGCACGCCGTGTCCGAGGGCACCAAGGCCGTCACCAAGTACACCAGCTCCAAGTGAGCGCGCGCAGCGCCCTGAACCCAAAGGCTCTTTTCAGAGCCACCCACGTTTTCCGTGTAAAAAAGCTGTTGCATTTGTGTGGTATCTTGCGACTTGCAGGGAACCTATCCTAATGGCTTACATAAACTCTAAGCATGGGTCAGTCAGATTCACTGTTTTACCCACTTTTGGAAACACGTTTTTTGTTATTATTCAGTGACGGAAGCATTGCTCCTGTCTGTACAGCAGCGTTTTTTGAAAAGTCCGCCAGGACTGAGATTTGGTGGTTGGTCCACGGATATGTGTGTTTTGAGGAACTTCTCTGGAAAGTAGCGCTGTTATTTCTGGGATTTCACTGAACCCCCAAGCCGTAAATTGCCCTTCGGTCCGTGTTTGGATCCTGGTGAGGTCAACCTCGGTTTCCATTTCCCGTCGTTGAGGAACTGGCTTTGTTGTCTTCTCCAGCCCAGCAATGAGCAGGGGTTGTAGGGTCAACTGAGGTGCCCTGTGTCCTACTGCAACTGGATCCTGGGAGTTCTGGACGTTCCTTAGGGAGTGGAAGCCCGGCAACGTGGAAAACCCGCTTTCGTAAAAAGTTACAGGAAGTATAGCCCAGACAGGTCAGTTTCAAGGCTCGGATTTTAGTTTGTGACCAGGAATCCTGTAGCCAGAGTCGGAAAACCCAGCGCTTAGAGATAAGTGGACTCCAGCCACCGAGGTTGGAGGTCAACCGGAGTCGTGGGTTAGCTCGGAGTACTCCGGGGACTGCCAAGCTCCACCCAAACAAAGCCCAGCAGTGCTAGTATCTAAATTCTCCGTTTTGGTGTTTCCTGGCGTTAACGTCCCTCCTCCACTGGGTCGTCCCCTCTCCTAATCGTGTTTAGTGAGTCTGTTTCTTCAACAACAGCAGAATAACCCTGCCCACCAGAGTCCCTCTCCAAGCTTCCGAAACATCTTCCCTTCACTTCGCGCGCAATTAACGCTCTGAAAGGGTGCGGGCTATCCCAGGAAACATCCTGAGTTGGTTGCTCCGAGGATCCTACCCCGGAATGAAATTTGTCGCCCTCTTCTGCCATCTTGTGGTAATAAGTAGAAGCACCAGTCCAAGGCCTTGTGTTTTCCTGCCGGGTCAAATGCTTCCTTCTCACTGCTGAGGAGCAATGCGGGGGTGGGTTTGTCTTTGTTATTTTTAACCACAGGGTTTATGTAGCTTCTGCAAGTGAGGTTCCTGGGTACCTGAGAGAAAGGGGGCAGAGCCGTCCAGAAGGAAAACAAATCAAATACCAAATTAGAGTTCAAAAATAACTGAAAATAATAGACCGTGCTTTCTGGTTGTGAATTTCTGTGTTTTCATTCTCCTTTGACCGTGCCCAGTGCCTAACCATGTCCAAACATCTTATTAAACACTTTATTAGACTGACAGGACTGCTTTACCAATATGTCAAACGCAACAAAGCTATTTTCTTGAAGTACAAGATCAAAATTGCAGTTGGGTGTGGCTTCTGAGGCCTTTCTACCTGACTGGGTCAATGGCTGTCTTCCTGATGAGTCTCCCCTTGACTCACCCCTGTGTCTAATCTCATCAAATTAGGGCTCCGCTCTTAAAACTTCATTTACCCTTCATTGCTTCCATTTGCTGTGCTGAGGAACAGACTGAAGACCCGTCCCAGTCTATGAATTCACTCTTTAAAAATTTTCATTCATGGGGTTGGAGAGATGACTCAGTGGTTAAGAGCACTGGCTGCTCTTGCAGAGGACCCCAGTTCGATTCCCAGTACTCACATGGCGGCTTAACAACGGTCAGTAACTCCAGTTCCAGAGGATCCTATGCCTTCTTCTGTCCTCTACTGACATTGCAGGACACGGGTGTACTTGCATTCATGCAGTCAGTACACTCACAAATATAAAATAAAAACAATAAATAAAATATTTTTAAAAATCAAATATATGGGACTGGAGAGATGGCTCAGCAGTTAAGCACTGACTGTTCTTGCAGAAGACCCAGGTTTGAATCCCAGCACCCACATGGCAGCTAACAACTGTCTGTAACTCCAGTTACACATAAAATAAAAATAATAAAACATTTTTTAATAAGTAGTCTCCAAAGTCTCCTCCAGCAGAAATGACCTGTTTCTAAAAATGTATCATTCACAAGTGTAACATATGAAAATATTTGTTTCAGCTTTGTAGAAAATATTTTTTACAAAGAAAATATGCTTTGAGGCCCTGTGTGGTGTTTCCTCTCAATCTGACTGTCTTTCCTTCTTGTTTGTTAAGACAAGCTCTCCTCTAGGCAGGCTGGCCTTGAACTACCTCTGTGGTGAAGGATGACTGGATTCCTGGTGCTTCGGCCTTCAAGTCCCACTTGCTGGCTCTTAATGAGCATCTGTATATAACAGGTCTATTTTCATTTTTTGTTTGTTGTAGTGTTTACTTCTTTTATTGTTGTGACCAAATAAATACTTGACAAGAAAGCAATATAAGAGAGGGCCTGTTTATTTCAGTTTACAGGTCTAGGGGATTAGGGCAGAGAAACTTGAGGAGGCAGCTGGTCATATTGTGTCCAGTCAGGAAGCAGTCAGGAGTGAATGGTGGCCTGCAGCTTACTCTCTCTGTCTTGTTCAGTCCAGGACCTCGCCCCATGGAACCGTGCCACCCATATTTAAGATGGGTCTTCCCACTTCAGTTAAACTGATCAGATAATCATGCACAGATGTGTCCAGAGGCTTGCATCTTCAGTGATTCCAGATCCTATCAACGTGACAATATTAACCATTACACTTGCTAATAGGAAATTCTACACAGAAAGAAAAATTAGTGTCTTGTAGACGCGGAGATTCACTAATGTAAAAAGATGTTCTAAATTTGTCACACTGTCCAAGAACAAACTGAAAAGCCATGTCTTAAACAGGAGCCAGGAGAAAAGGCAATATTCCATTTCTTGACAATTGCTTTAAACTGTGTGTGCCCTTAGGGATCTGAGAGGCTGAGAAGTCTGTCACTGAGAGCTGTAGCAGATAAATATGTCTGGGAGGGAGTTGGAGAGTATGTCCATTTTAAGAGTGCTCTCTCTCTCTCTCTCTCTCTCTCTCTCCTCTCTCTCGTCTCTCTGACTCTCTTCCCCTCCCTCCCTTTCCTCTTTTCCTCTTTGAATATGAGATCTGTAGTTAATACGTATGGTGTGAAATAAATAGACCAATGCTGTGTGCCCATTTCTGAAAATTTTTAAAACGTGAAAGAAGGTGAAGAATAATGTCGTACTGATGCGAGGCGAATTAAAAAATGTGGCAAACAGCCAAAACACAAAACCCGCAGTCCTAGTGCGGCTGCTCCCTAGAGGCGAGCGGATACCAAAAGGATAACGAACACTCTGCTGAGCTGCACGCAGCGAAGGGCCAAGGAAACAGCCGCAGGAAGAGGTTCCCGGAAGGGTTTTACTCCTTTGCCCTTCACCTGACACTCTCAAAACGCCAAGAAGCTGGCAGCGAACGGCTCTTTGTATTGTCAATATGTGGTATTGAAAATGAAAAAGAAAAAAACCGAAAAACCCACTAGCAGAGGATGGTTTCGATCCATCGACCTCTGGGTTATGGGCCCAGCACGCTTCCGCTGCGCCACTCTGCTTCCTCCAACAAAAACCCTGAAAAGAGTTACTGTTATATTTTCTTACAAATGTTGACCTAGTTTTATATTAGGAAATATTGACCTAGTTAGAAATTCAAATGTAACAGAAACTCAAGAAACTTTAATTTCAAGTATCCTCAGAGAAAGGAAACTCAACGTTCCTCTAAGAAAGCAGCTTGTCTCTCACCTAGAAAAGGCGATTGGAATTAAAATGTGACTAGAATGCAGAGGGATTTGGAAAAAGTCAAGTGCGAAAAATTAACTTCCGAAATGAAGACATCGTGAAAGAACATACGATCTTTAAAAAAAAAAAAAAAAAAGCTGCATTGGCCGGGAATCGAACCCGGGCCTCCCGCGTGGCAGGCGAGAATTCTACCACTGAACCACCAATGCTTGCCGATGTACGGTTTCATCTAAGCATACAAATGTAGTACTTTTCCAATTCTGTTTTCTATCAGTATTAATGCCCGTTTTCTGTTAAATATGATATTTACGCTATTTTACACTTTTATTGAATATAGACTCATAATGCTGCTTCCTAGTTCTCTACAAATACAGAACGTCTCAGGCACCCGCCGTGCCGTAGGACCACGGCTCTAAGAGGACCGCATTCTGGGTGGGGCGGGACTCCGGGAAGAGGGGCCTGTACCCTCGGAGGGGCGGGGCCTTATGTCGGGGGGCGGGGCTGGCACCTCTCAGGCGGAGAAGGAAAGACCCAGAGCCACCGGAAGAGGGAGCCCGAGATGCCTGGGGACCCGGTGCTGCCCCCTGCTGGTCGCCAGCGGAAGGTGTAGGAACGTCTGTCAAGGTTGGCAGGTGGCTCTGGAAGGTCCTCCGGAAAACCGAGTGCAGAAATCTCATTAAGGGATGATTTCTCCCCAGGACTTTGTAATAATACCATCAGTGAGGTGATACTCAAGAGACAGTCCAAGGAACAGAATCTTCTGAAAAAGATCAGGATTTGGAAATGAATGTGTGACTGAGGCCGAGGCCAGTTTTGTCTTCACAGGAGACTAGCATCATGCATTGAGTCTGTCTATTGTAAAGAGGAGCAAAGCTAATGTGAGGGGGGCTGAGGGGTGGAAAACGCTATCCCCAAGCAAAGGTCTCAGAAGCAATGTTTCTGTCTGTCCTCCTGCTCTCCTGTCTCTCACTCTTCCACAGAGGACTTCAGTAAGACTCAGACATGCTCTGTTTTATTTTATTTTATTTTATTTTATTCATTATTACTGTGTGTGTATGATGTGTGTGCATGCACCATGGCCTGCTTGCAAAGGTCTGAGGACAAACTTTGGAAACTGATTCTCTCCTTCCACCATGGGAACTAGAGACCCTAGCCCTGATATCACTGTGGTCTACCTACAACAAAGCCAGATTCCCATTATTTGCCTTATAAATAGTGAGCTGACCTGCTTGTCTTGGTCATCAGTCAGAACAAAATGCTCACTGACTAAACTTTCAGCCTTCTCAGCCTGAGTCAGGATACAAGGACAACTAGCCTCTAAGCAA